TACAAGGCATTTTGTGTGAGATACCAGAGGTTGGTTTCTCTTATATACCGGGGTAATCCTTCAGGAAAAAATACTTCAGTTGGTTTGTCACAATTTTATATTTTTAGTGTTTCAAATTTTTAAAAACCAGTTTAGAAAGTAATAAAGATTTTGTATACAAATTTATTATACATTAATATGAAGATTTACAAAACAGATACTTAATGGGAAACGTATCGTCTGACCTCTAAAAAAAAAACAAAATATAGAAGAGTAAGTATGGTTACATAGAGATCAATGTAAACTGGTCAGATGAAATCCATCGAATTGGTTGGGGGCTGAGTATTATCATACTAGTATTTTACTTTAGTAAGATTTTTTTTATTTATTAAATTATTATTATTATTGGGGGTGGGTGGATTGCTTTTCGTTTTTCCTTGAGAACCCCCCCCCAAAAAAAAATAAAACCACACTTTTGAAAAAGTCACTATAGTCGGCCTGTGTAATAACTACGGACACCTGTCCTCACGTGCCATATCAGGTGGAGACACGTGCCGCGAAGACATCTGTCACTGTGTATTTTTTGTTTAAACTAGAATGAAATAGTACCTGAACATAATTTATCATTTCAGAGAGAAGAAAACTGCATGACTTTAAAAAGAAAACCAGTGAGATAAAATCATATAAAAACTGACTGAATTTTGATCCGCCAATTCATGAACATGATGAGTGGATGTTAATAATGTTGGTCAATTTAAAAAAAAAAATTAAATTACTTGTTTATAAACCGAGTGTACATGCAATATTGGCATAAAATTACTCATAAGATACATATATACTTACACCATGATAAAAGCATATGTGTCCAATGCAGCATATGATAAATCATTAACATACAAGTACATGTATATCTATACTGTAATACATATATATATTGCATTGTTTTTAGAGTCCTGTTCTGTGGATGCCCTTAGACAGTGTCTCTACCCATCACGCCATCTGATATCACTTGTTCTGAGCATATTTCTCTCTCGAACTTAAACTACAGAGAGCCTGTGGATAGAGGATGAAGAATGACCTTGGACTAATTTTCTAGGTCAAATGTCAGTATCAAAATGTACTGTATATCTTTATTCAAAGTCGCAGTCCAGAGTATATTTCTCCCTTGGTGTAATCTACATTTTATGCAATGGGATGGAGGGTCTGCAATGATCTTCAACCAATGTTTTAGGTCAAATATCAAAATAAAAAAAATACTATCTCTAATATTTTTGTTATTATAAAGAGTATGTTTTCTCTCAAACTATTTCAACTTAAAGCAGGGTTCTATGAAATTGTAATATATTCTCAATGACATAATAAGGCTGAAAACATTATTTATATTATGTAATATTTTTTTCCTTATCATAAAGCATTAAATTTTAAAGAGACACATTAAATGCTGAAATCATATGTATTATGGTCATGGAAAGTAATAATTGATATTGGTATATTAAAGAACATTGACTGATCTTTCAGATTTATAAGTTATATTCAAGCATTATAATTCTTACACATCATATGATAATTTTGTATGAATATTGCAGATCATAGGTGATGTGAAGAAAATACCAGGGAACTGATGTTGAAAGAAGTACTTAATGACAATTATGAATGGGCTTAAACGTGAAAGACTGTTCCATTGTTTATCTAAGATATATGAATTTAATTAGTATTTTGAAATCATTGAAAAATACTGTTACAGTTTTTGTACATCAAATGAGCTATTAAAAATATAAAATGGTAATGCTTTTTTCTCTTACATGTAGTAATTTTTTGATAGATTTTTGAAAAGAATACTCATAATTTCACATCGCTTCCTTTAGAAAAGTTAGGAAATCTTAAAGTTTCCCAGTAATTCCAAACCAGGAATGGGACTCCAGATAATTCCACCAAGTTTCCACCACACAGAAACTGCTACACAAGTTCCATATAGTTTCCTGAGTCAAGGAAACTTTAGGAATCGTAAGGTTTCACGAGTTTCCATGTAGTTTCCCATAATAGGAAACCTTAAGATTCAATCAAGTTTCCATTCCACGGAGACCACTACGCTCCGATTCCATGTGGTTTCGTGAGGTTTCCCGAGCTTCCATGTAGTTTCCCGTATAAAGAAACCTAAAGATTCCACCAAGTTTCCATTCCATGGAAACCACTACGCTCCCGATTCCATATAGATTCGTGAGTCATGGAAACTATAGGAATCGTGAGGTTTCCCGAGCTTCCATGTAGTTTTCCGTAAAAGGAAACCTAAAGATTCCACCAAGTTTCCATTCCAAGGAAACCCCCTACGCTCCGATTCCATCAAGTTTCCTGATTCTGGAAACCAGTGGAATCTTCAGGTTTCCCATTACGGGAAACTACATGAATGTTCGGGAAACTTCAGGTTTACAGAGGTTTCCGTGGTTCGGGATATCTTATGGAATCGGAGCGTAGGGGGTTTCCGTGTCACGGAAACTTGGCATAACCTAGCATCCGGTACGGAAACCACTGGGAAACATGATGTAAACTTGAGGTTTCCATGTGGTTTTCATAAAGTTTCCCATGATAGGAAACCACTTTTTTCACCCAGTGAGCGCATTTTAAATTTTAAAGGTAAATGCTATTTAGCATGTGCACACTTTGTTATGGAAATATATATTTAAAGAAAATACTAGCGTTACAGATCCCTTGACCGTAATTGGCCTACTTGGCAAAATAGTGATACTTTCGTGAATTTTTGAAGGCAAGGTTTTGATTTAATTTACATGTTTATGAGTTTTTGAAACTTTACTTTGAAAGTGTACTTTGATAAACTTTAGTAGCCACACAAACTGAGATTTAAATATTATGAAAATAAATTGGGATCGGTATACCAAAATGGATATTTGTAGACTGACAATTGCAGTGAAGACAGTCTAAAATCTCTTTTGAAGAATTGTAATAAAATTCGAATGATTTCATTTTCAATATTTATCTTAGCTTTGGGTGGGGGAGATTCATATTTGTGATTCTATCACAGTCTTACTATCAATTGTTTGTTTTCTTGACAGGCAAATACACTATTATAAAAATACATGTAACAAAAATTGTTTACTACTATAAGATTTATTGGCGTCTTTAATGATGCTATGAATAACATGAGAATCCGTTCCTTGGAGCACTAAAGTTTGGCTGATATATCCATCACTGATCTGAAGTACTTTAATTTCTGCAATTAAAGCTACAGCGCAGGAAAAAGCTTTTTAAATGAATCTTGCTCATTTTATTTCGAATGAAATGAAATTAAAATGTGAAATCATGGAATAAATCGAATCCGAAGACTTTAGTTGCGGGTTTTAGTAAATAATATATTTAAAAGCATAATATTTTACCAAACACGTAAATTAATCACATTTTTTATTAATGCGTTAGCGTGTTATGAAAATTTGTTTGCACAAACCGTTGCAGTTATGAGACTATTTCTTAAAAAAAAATAATGATTCATTGCTTAAATAACCCCTTAAACCTGTGCATGGAGTTCATGTCTCTTAGTTGATTCGATACGCAAACACATGCTCTACGTTCGAGGGACAATCAATAAATAATGTCACTATCTCGATGGCATACAATATAGTAGTCATATGACATAAAGCTTAACTTTCTCGCATTATTGAATCTTTAATGAATTGATAACAGTTTGTGTGACCACTTTTTATCGCATTATTTTATCGTGGGAAGCTGGAAAACAAGGACTATTCGAGACACTGCATTAAAAATGAATTGTCAAGAATCGGAAAACTAGAGTAAAATTAAATGCTTCATTAAAGCAGCTGTAAAACTTGTTTAAAAAAAAACATCCCAAAAAATATTAACTGAAATATGTGAAATTAACAGCAACCAATGCCTGTTTTAAAGACAGGTGAACATGTAGATTTCAATAAACAAAAATTATATAATTGGCATCGGAAATGGGTACCGTCCTTTGCAACAATGACTTACAACAACCGATGTAAATTTGCGAAATTTCACCAAATTATTGACAAACAAGTTGACGAAAAGAAGATTTCAACAGTCTCTGTTGAAGTCAACATTTTGCAAGTTCTATAGACGATGCCATGGCCTTGTCAACAAATACAATTTACAGAACCGAATGCTGATTGACGATTTTCATATTACTTGATCGGTCATTATTAACATACTGCATTGTCTACGGATTTTCCTTTGCCTGATCATGACAGTGAGCATACGGTGGGCGTGACCAATCAACAGGGGATGCTTGCTTGTCCATGGCAGCTTATCCCACATCCAATGATTTTGCTATGCTCCCGATTTGTATTGTTTCAATGGACATTTGAGCTTTATTACTTTTTGTAATTTCGTCAAGCGGATACGATTTTGACGTAAGTCATTGTGACGTAAGCAAACCAGATTATACAATTTATATTATTTTTTTTATCCAACCAAATGACGCGTTACAACCAAAATTAAATTATTTCCATATGTCATAATAAATCAATTATTGCCATTGTTTAAGTAAATACTATTATTCAGTAAGACTTGGTGAGTACAGTACTCTTCTGGTGGCTAAATAAATCATTCTTCCATCTCAAATACAGCAATAGCTGTATATTATATATGTTCTATTTTCTTTCTAAACTTTGATTTATCATATTAACATGATGACGTCTTCATTTCGTCTTGATTAACCTATGCTGTGAAAATGTACTTATAATTTAGATCGTTACTTCACGAGATCTTGATTATTTGCATCACGAAGCAATAACAGGAATTTGAATATTTCACGCTCATAATTGTTCAAATTACATCAAATGCAATATTTTTTCCCTTTAGTCATACACCGCTAAATAAAATTTAAACACAGCTTAAACAAAAAAGGGGTAAATTGAAAATTGCCTTGTAGTTATGTGTTGTTTCATTAAATATACTATGGAATAGGAAACGACGTATTTCTTTATTTGAACATATTTCTGATATACATGTATAAAATTATTTGGTTTACTTACAGTGTCTGTAAACTTAACAAACCGTCAAAGGCATTATCTTCCAAAGTGGTGATTTGATTCCCTTCCAGATACCTGGGAAGTGTTCAGACAAATTATCGTCAAAAGTATTTTTTTTTTCATTATCAAAGTAATTTTTACGTCAATAATCTGAAAATTTAATCATGATCATATCAGTTATTAAGATGAGTGGAATTATTGTAATCCATTAAGATGAATCTTCAATATCTATCGGGGTGATAAATTTTGACTTTCTTTAGTTTTAATTTTTATTTACCTACTCACTATATTATTAATTCATTTTGAGCAAAATTATGTTTTATTATAAAAAAACATATCTGTAAAGAAAAATCGTCCCCAACAGAAACCATCATATCAGCATAATGCATAATTATTATAACAGTAACTTGATCTGAAGATCCTGATCACGTCTCCTTGACAACAAGTGACAATCAAAGACTTTTTTTTATTTGTACTATAAAAAAAATACGTATATATGAATGTAGAATGAAACCTACTGCTAAAACCCGTTACCAAACATTTTCCTTATTTTCGATACCTGCAATTATTTGCTGTTAGGACCAATGTATCATATTATTCGTACATGTTTGTGCAGATGTTAAACAAGACAACTTATTTTTTAACCTAGACCTTGTTAGGTGAAATCATAAAATTATCTTGTCGCACGCGTGACGCAGTGGTTAGAGCGTCTGCTCTTCAGTCGAAGGGTATGGAGTTGATCCCTACGGGTTCGAACCCACTGCAAGACGTGGAGACTGGTCCTTCGGGTGAGACCGAATAATCCGAGGTACCGTGTCACAGTAGATGTTGGCAAGAAAAAGATGGTCCTGAGTACCGGGAATAGATGTATGTTTGCAACGCCCCCACCAACCAGGGGTAGCGTCTCCATATGAGTAAAAAATTCTCGAGAGAGAAGTTAAACACAAACAGAAAGCATAACATCTTCTTCCTTTGGCAACTTCGCAAGCTAAGTCCGCTTTACTGCGCATATCCCAGGCGGTCATATTTCCGATATACAGTCAGTAAGCTATAATTATTATTTTGAAGGGTCGTCATCATGGAATAAGACATCAAACAATCAGATTTTCTTTATTGGCTTTGGTGGCTTTCAGTTGTTTGTTTCCGTTAAGTTGGTAATGCTTCAGTTATTGCAATTAACACCCACTATTGACTTTGAATACTTAAATTTGTGCAAATCAATAAATCCAGAGCAAGAAATAAAACATAAATAGCCTTTCATATCATAATTGCTAAAATATTATACAAAGATTATTTTTTTTCTGAATCTAACAGATAAAATGAAATCTGAAGATGAAATGAATTGTAATCATGAACAAAAGTCCAAAAAACAAACGTTTAACTCAGAACAGAGTAAACATGGACCTCTAAAATCTATAGGTAATTGATCAAGGTAACAGGGAGGAGTCTCATACTGATACTGAATACGAGGCCGTTCAAATAATTTAAGAAATACAATAACATATGTATCTGACAACTAGAATAAAAGTTAAATTTATCCATCAAAGATTTATTTTTACGTGTTCAAAATGTAGTCCATACACATGGGTGACATGCATTTAATTTTTTACCTGCATATGAAATCAACTTTAATTGAATTTTTCACTCAAAGTGAAAGCACAAAGTTTATGATGTAAACAGACTGGTAACTGGATTATATATTATTTTCTTATTTATTTGAAACAAGAGAAGGGTCTTAAGTACAAAACCCACTTGTATTAATCTTTCATTGGAAATAACTTTAATTTATCAAACTGCAAATTTTCCATCTATGTTTTAAATTATTCATGTGTAAAAATATTCATGTACAGTGATAAATGTATAAAACGCTTTGTTTTGATTCGAGGAAATACGCATTGATAATTACCAGTGGTAGATCTAGGTGGTCGGATAGGATATAAGATATTCGTGCATTCGGATCATTTCAGTTAACAATTTTATATTTTTCTGATCCTGGGTTCAACAGAATTCATTGTAAATGTGTCTTCATAACAGTTCGGGAAACAGAAGGAAATAATTCAACCAGGGTAGGGGAAAATCTACCACATTTTTAGAGTTTGTTCGTGTTTGATAAGTGAACTTTTGAAAACGGATCGAAATTATTTTTCTAAAAAGGAAAACAATACAGTACTTATTTATATAGCTAATTTTTAATTTTTAGATAGGCTCTTGATCTGGTAATGTGAATGTTACATAGCTAACTGTAATCATAAAAAGATAAAGAATATTGTTGGACTAATATTGATTACAGATACGAATTTCATACAAAATCAAAGAAATTAAAGAAAAATCTTTCTTTTCTTCCTTTTTCATAGAGGGATGGAATCAAAAGCCCAATTTATCAAGGATACGAATGGTATTTCTAAAGAAACCACATTAAGTACCTGATCCCATTTTCTTTTTAATTACATCAGGATCGATTCGTTCGTCATTTTAACGCTTTACTATAAACTTAAAATTTGACTTCAAGTTAAAAAACGTTTAATTGAAATCGCAAAAGTTATCCCCCCCAGTGTGTTGTACGTCTTTAACTTGTTGCTAGCGCCCTCAAACGCTAGCAACTACATTAGTCCAAATTCCTTGAATACGCATGCTGGGCTTCACAGTCGTGCATTCTGGGAAAACTGGGAAAACTACTATAGATAGACCCTACTATATCAATATCGTTGTATCATGTATCGTGTAGAGCACAGCCAAACATCTAGACTCTAATTTCTGATTGGCCAATTCAGCCAATCTTACAAATTTCAGAAACAAGTATTAACACTAAAAATAACGAATAAATCCATTATTTATGTATATATATAAAAATTCTGATGTGTATGGCATTTAACCTAACATGACCCAAAGGACCAAGCTACTTCAAATCTTCACATTCGGAACTCTCTGGATTTCTTTACACAACATACACTTTGAGTTATTGTCTATTTATGCAAAATCTTATGCTTGAAAAGAAAAAAAAATACTTGCTGTGGCTACTTGAAAAAGACGTTAATGGTAATCTTACAAACAATCTATATGATAAACGTGATGACTTTAACTTTTCTATCATCAACTTCCCTTAGTAATGCAGCAATATACCTTCATCACCTGCATACGGAATATATATATCTCAGTTGATTCGATACGCTAGAGCATGCTCTACGTATGAACAAATTCTAAAACGAGGTAAATTATTGACAGGCAAGTTGATGAAACAAGAATATCAGCAGTCCCATTTAAAGTCATCATTTCGTAAGTTCTATGGTCGATACAATGACCCTGTCAGCAAATACAGTTTTTCATTAAGTCAAATGCTAACTGATTTTTTCATACCAATTGTTAGTTCATTATTTATACACTGAATTGACGACGGATTTTTTCCGTTATTTCCTGATCATGACAAGAAGCACACGGCGGGTGTGACCGGTCGGCAGGGGATGCTCACTCCTCCATGGCACCTGATCCCACCTCTAATGTTTCGGGGGTCCGTGTTTGCTCTGCTCTTATTTTGTATTGCTTTATGGACTTTGAGACTGAATGCTGTTCGTTATCTCCATATCGTTCTTTTAACTCCCCCTGTATTGTCTTTGCTACATTTCCAATAAAGTCTATTCTTAAACCAGCTCATACAATGCGTCAATCAGCATCTTCTCCATATAATATAGAGCCCCCTCCCCCTTCTCCAGTAAAGGTCATAAATGTCCCGTTGTGCCAAAACTCCAATAGGACAACACAACCCCCCCCTTCTTCTTTACTTATGTGTCTATAAAATACACTTCACAAAACAATTATAACTTTATCACTCTCCATCCTCGATTAAAATTAAAGAATTCAGCAAAATAATTCGCTTGATCACGGATCCTACTTTCTGTGTTTAAAAACTGTTACGGCGCTAGCTCACCTATCTTTTTTAAAAGATAAACTTGTTAAGGTATATGCCACTCGTCAGCATTTTAGAAAAGTTCAGTCAGAACCTTTAACTTCAAAACTATTGATAACAATTCAATTTTTGCAAGATATTTAAATTAAAAATGCATTTCTTTTTCAAAATTCAATTAAAAATCTGCTCACAAATTAAAAAAAGATTGAGATTTATAAGGGACTATTTCTTGGGGTAGAAGGATATTTAGAAGAAAATTCTTCAAATCTACATATTTGTTAAATTTAATATCATGGAACTTTAGCCGCACATATTTTTATTTAAAGAAAATTTTCCGTTTTAATTTGCAAAGAATATTAAATAAAGGTCTCAGATTATATTTGTCAAACATTTGTATATATATGTCAAACAAAACGATACCTCCAACCGATCAGCACTTAAGTCATAAAAAGTTTGATACAAGAAAATATTATATTGCCTACTTAGTTTTTATACCCCAAATATGGAGCTTTTTAGTGCAAAAAGGTCACACAATAATTTATATGCATTAATTTGCATGATTTGTTCAATGATAGAAATTATTCAACCTATACTTATTGCCATAATTACATCTGATAAATATGTGATGAAGTTTATGGTGATTAACCAAAGTATTACAATTTAAGTTCCAAAAAGTCAATTTAATCGTACCGTAGCTAAGTAAGATTCACACTAACCCCCATTTTCTTTGCGAATTTGAGTCAAACTGTATGTCGACTTATCTAAAATATGCTTGATATTACAAATTTTACGAGTGACATACCTTAATACCTGAGATTTACTATTGCCTGACGTCACGGCGTCAGGCACTACTAAGAATCAATATTTCCTATAGCTAGGTGCGAAGCTAAGAGGTCACAGTTAGCAAGCAAAATTTTGTGCATGCTGATTATCATCGGATTTTGTTACATGCGTTTCAGCAGTTAGCAGAAAAATAACCATATTGCTGATACAATACATCGATGTATTTATCTCCTTTTTGCTAGCAGCTTTTTATTCCATGCGATTTCTTATACAAACATGTCCGTTTGACGTTTTTTCCTGCGTTTTTATACCACTGGATTAGTCCATTTGTCTTCTTGGTATGGGGTGACACAATCATTTCGCGCCAAAATGTCACGTGTAAGTTTTTGCACCCTTTTCCTGGACTATTGTATTAAATTGATATGAAAACTGCATGGATTATATAAAGTATTTTCTTTTTTGTCGGAATCCTGGTCGAGCTTTGAAAAGAAAACATATCGGTGATATTGTGAAGTGAGTTAGAAGTTACATCATTTAAAGCAATAAAGACGAAACGAACAAAAATCTCTCAAATGGATGTACTGGCCAAATAAACATCCGATCATACCCCCCCCCTCCTCCAGGGGTTTCCTCCTACAAAAACAGTATAGACTTATGAAAGTGTCCTCTCACATTTCAGGACTGAGAAAGTTTATTACTATTTTGTTCGTACATATATTTTTGATGTGGACCCCTTATCCCTGAGAAAAACTTCCTGAATCCGCGCATGTCGCTATTCATATATCGCCGTCAAGTTTGTTGGGTCATTTAAGCATATAGAACTTTCTTTATTCCACGTTTCCAACAATCTTTAATGCTCTAGCATACCCAAGAAACTATTAAACACATTCTTCATGTCATTCATAACTGTTACGATTCCCATTTTCTTGTAGTTATCATTTTCAGCTGTCTTCCTCAAAGTCTATGCTCTATGCAGTTGAATCTAATTTATGTAACCTTAACATATAGCCATGCTTTTCAGCATTAATCAATTACATTAGTTTTTTCCCTTATTTATTTCAACCTCTAAAACCATTTTTAGACTCGCGGAGTGAGGTTTTCATTTTACGTCGCGGGTTCGAATCTACAGCGGGACATGTACATGCTTTCATTTTTTATTTGAGATACAAACAATATATACGTTTTATATGAAATGTGTTTTTTTTTCTCCATAGCATTGATGAGTATCATACAATTGACTTAAAATGAATACATGATGTTTTGTGCAACATCTTCATAATTTACTCTAGTGAAATAATTTAACACCCCCCCCCCTCCCCAAATGTAAACGTTTATAAATTATCATGCTTATAGGTTCTATAGATATTGATTGCATTAGTCAGGTAAGCTTTTTGAAAAGCTTTATTTGTAGGATTAAACGTTCTTTTTATAAAAACATGTTGGTGCATTTCACTTCAATTTCTTCAATAAATGACTTCCCCTTTTGGAATTTACTGCGTTTAAATGAATGCAGATCATAAATATCATTCTCTAAATATAAGAAAACAATCAACTGGGACTATTCCACAGTGTAAGCATACTTTGTTTGAGGACAAGAATTATTCACTGTTCACTTGTTCACAGGAGTCATACATACGCACCCCTCTCCCCCTCCCCCTCACCCCCCAAGAAAAATGCATGAATGACATGTAGTTGAAACTAAACCCGGAATGGTTTCCTAACAAATCAACCAAACTGAAATTGCAGAACTAATTGATGATATGAGGGACAGAATATCTCCAAGATTAGATTTTAAGAAGAGTATAAATTTATTTAACGATCATAACTTTTGTCTAACAGGTCTTCCGGATATGATCAAATTGATCCGGGGACCCTTCACAGGCACCTGTTTACTGTGGTAAAAATAAGTAGGGGTCTCCTGTATACGAAACAAGTGCCTGTGGGGCCGTAGCGGAAAGCATGCTATTAAGATTTCAAATAACTTAAAGCAGGGTCACAAGTCTAAGATAATTGAAAGTTTTCTTTATCAAGAAGGATATGGAGATAACGAACAGTATTCAGTCTTAAAGTCCATAAAACAATACAAAATAAGAGCAGAGCAAACACGGACCCCCGAAACATCAGAGGTGGGATCAGGAGCCATGGAGGAGTGAGCATCCCATGCCGATCGGTCACACCCGCCGTGTGCTCCTTGTCATTAAACATGAAATTGAGAAAATAAAGATTTACAGTTGAATGTTTTTATTGACCTTGAAAGGTCAGTTTTTAATATTTAAAAAAAACATTAATATTAAAAAAACTTGAAATTAAATTAGATTTGCAAGCTTATGCATATTAAATTGTAACATTCTAATCAGTTTACAAATTCAATGGTCATCGCTTTCCATTTTTTTTTTCAAGACTTTGATCGAATTTGATTATTTTTCCCGTAATAACAGACTCTCAATATTTTAGTTTTACATCCTCGTACTTACAGTGTCTCTAAATTTGACAGACCATGGAAAGCGTTATTTTCCAGTGTGGTTATTTGATTCAGTTGAAGATTCCTGGAAATGTTCCGTCAAATGAATGTTAATGATTTATTTACCGGGGATAAAATTAATAATTTAAACAGTTAAACGATTAACTTACAACATAATTACTCAACAACCTTTTGGTTTCAATTTATTCAAAATATGATTTTTGTTGTTGTTGTTTTGATGATGGAGTGCGACGTTTAGTATCAACGTGAACAGAATCGGGAAAGTAACTTAAGCAAACACTCTTGTATACGTTGAATGAGTTAGAGGTAAGTTTTTTAAAGTTAAAAGATCGCTTTTAAGTTGCCGTAAGTGTTATTTTGAATGTTTTATTTTTATAAGCATGAAAATTACACGGTCACATGTATTTTCAAGTTAATTATAAGTTAGATGTACGTAACAGGTTATCAATGCGTACATGTATGTTTAAGCACGTTTCATTAAAAAAAATCTCATACACCGATGGGTAATTATCTAGCGTGTGAAGAAAATATTAGGAACCTTATTTTTACCTATCGTTAACCTTTACTTAACATGTATTTTACATATTATTCAAAACTGTACTACTAGCTTAAGTTGTTGTCATTCTACGATGTGTATATGTAGCATTAACGTATACAGACGTACAAAAAAAAAAGAAAAATATGCTGGCTTTCGTTGAATAAAATATAGGTAAGTTTTTTAACAAGATGATGTATGTTGGTGTACGTTGTAATGCACTGAATGAATAATATTTTGTGCATGCTCAGATTTTTTTTAGGTATGCCACTTTATAAGTCACTAAAATAAAGGAAAGTTGTTCACGCGTAAGGCTTCGGTATGTGTGTTAGCACTACCCATACGTTGTAAAAGTAACATCCTTTTGATATACCATGCTTCATTATATCCGCAACCATTTAAATTTCCGAATGAAGTATTCTTTCTGAATTATTCTTAATACAAATATACCAAATTATTTGCTAAATATTCAATATTTTTATCTCTGTTTTCATAATTGAACATTTATTCACGAAAATGTAGATCAAAAGAGAAAAATCAAGATTTTAATAGATATGCCGTAAATGACACGCATTTTCTCGTTCAACTAACATCAAACGTTTGAAAAAATATGTAACTCTGACCATAATTCCAGTGGTAGTGCAAGAGTCCTAAAAGGGGCATTTGAAAAATTCTGAGAATGGTTTGATAAAATATTAAACGTTGAATGAAGCTAATGAGTTTGTTTTGAGTTTCCATAAAAAGGATCTCATTGTAATTTCACATCACCTAATATCTCAGAAAATCACGTCAGAGTCCCGCGTGTTTAGTGTACTGACAATAAAAAAAAATGACGTACCGAGATCGGCAATTTCAGGAAGTTTAATTTAAAAATCAACATTTGTTAATTACTTGGATTTACGCCAACGGTTACAATTGCCAGATAGGATTATGTTTATACATTATAGGCTATAGTCTATTATATGGGATTTTATAAAAAAAAAAAATGACCAACTGACCGTAATGGCTGTATGATGACCAGCAAAATACAGTATACTCTAGCTTTACGCATTTGCATTGCTAATGTCCCTCAGTATGTCACCATTTACAATTATATTACTATATAAGCCTTGTTAACCTGTAATAATACAAATAAATATAAAACTTATTTCTCAAGTTAAATGGAAATTCTAATTACTGTAATTTAAACATATCAGTCAGTCAAATTGCCCAACTGATCACCGACCTAAGTTCCTAAATAAAAGGAATCCACTGAATGCACAATATACACAAACTCATTGAGAGGGAAAATAAACCTTGATTAGAGGCATTCACCAGTGGTTAACAAGAAAAAAGATTTAAATGGTTGCATTGTCAATTAAGCAGAAAATATACATGCTTTTGCTAAGGGAAAATAATCTTACGCTCTTCTTTCATTGGTTTGATTTACTTACAGTGTCTTTAAATTTGACAAACCATCGAAGGCATTATCTTCCAGATTGGTGATCTGATTCCCTTCAAGGTTTCTAAAACATTGTTATATTTAAAATGTAAAGATAACGAATAGTGATCCATGTTATAGATCTAGTAAATAAAACAAATCGTGAACAGAGTAAAAAAGAGCGGTCCATGGAAACACCAGAGGGATGATTAGGTGTCTAGGAGGAGTGAGCATGATATTTAAACCATTAAAATTTTCTTATCTTGGTGATATGGCAATATCTAAAGTAAGTCATCAAAATTTAGAATTATATTTTACATATTTGTGCTAGGATCATTTTTTTTCATCAAAATGAAACATGAGTGAAAACTCAAAACTTTAGACTTCAGATCAATAAGAATTTGACTCTTAGTATTAATACCGGTATATAAATGAATGATGGTTATAGAAAAAGACAAAAACTTGCTGCATATTTCAGTAAAAATGTCGGTACGATAGTGAACAAATATCCAAAAGTTTATATACTGTACATATTTAAGAAAATGCATAAGTCAGGAAATAAGCCATCGAATGTGTTTATTCAAATACATTTATAATTTAATATCCTAGATGCAATGCATTCATATCCTCTAACACTTTTATAGATGATTAGCGATGGAACATATCTTTAGATAGAATGATCATCTTTCATCCTTATTTGAAAATCCGTCTGTTTCTTTTTAATGACATGTTAATACTTTTTAAAAAGAAATATTTATTTTTATATTTAGCCAAGCACATCAACTTATCTAATCTTGAAGAGATAAAATATTTCAATCAAGAATATTTATTTGTCAATTAAAGACAGAATTTTGGATTCTTTGGTAGCTAGTAGAGATTATATTCAGTTCGTCTAACAAGTAAAGTGAGATTTAGTACGAATAAAATACATAGATTTTATAATCACTGCACTGGAAGTTAACCCCCTTTTTGCATTAAATCTGAAAAAGAGGCTTTTTTCAAAGAGAGAGAGAGAGACACCTAGCAATACTCGATATTCAGATTGGAGACATGCAACCAGTAGAAACACAACTGATAGTTCGAACAATGAAAATGAACGAGAATAAGAAACTGAAGCGGTGCGGACAAAGGATAACCCCTTCACCATTGCAAACAGTCAATAAACAGATCTAGAAGTCCCCTTCACCACTTTCTTAAATTCCACCATCTGAGCCCATAATGCCCCTACTGAAAATACAACAAACAGCCCCATAAGTGGGGAATGTTTTCGTTTCTACCCCTTAGCAAATTAGTTGCCATGAATTTTTGGATGAATACGGGCCTCAAAAATCAGAACCAGATATGGGAGGCAGGAGCCATGGATCCCTCACTGCTTGCTTAGACTAAATGCAAGTTAAAGATTGCCTATCTCTATGGGATTTTAAGTTAAACATTGGCGTCTGTGTAGTCATAAACCAAAAACTTCTTCGCTAAAATTGATCTGGTGGAATATTTTATTTATTTAGATACATTTTTTATACGAACATTCCACATGGGTTCATGAATTACTTAAATGCATCTGAAATATAAGAATTGCTGCTATATTTGTTCAGATATGTAGTGCAGGTTTAAGAATGGCTTATCATAGGTGACTATTAATAAAAATTTCTGGTTGGTGTATATTTCTAACAAACTAATCAACATAATATAATCAAGGGTCATATTAGCCAGAATTTTTTTTTAGTGTACATCTCTAACAAATTTTATTTGGTATACATATCTATACTTCAATGGGACTTATACTAGATGAAGCACTTCACCCGACATCACCACGTGACGTCTATAATTAGAAAATATGCCTTAATATAAAAGTAAAAAGTTCAACACTACCCCGGTGATAATTAATTTCAATTTATAATAATAATTATGTAAAAACATCTCTATACCATGAAAAGTGCTGCTAGAATCTTATGTCCTATCACAAAAATAATTATTCAACACTTTCAGACGAAACCTTCCCAACATTTTTACATTTTGTTCATAACATGGAAAAATTTGCTTAGATTCCCGTAAACCATACGATTCTAGCAGCACTTTCCAAAAACAATAGAATGAGAAGTTTAGATAGAAACAAAAATTAAGTTTCAAAGTATACGGCGTAGTGTTGAACTTTTGCAACTTTTTTGTTACAGACGACAGAGGAAAGGCTAAACACCCTCACTGCTTTAATTGTAGAATTATATTAGCATACCTTATTCATAAGCTTTATTCCCAAAAGAATCTCACATGATATTCATTCTAGATGCTTTTAAACTCTGATTTCTTGTGATTGTTTACATGAATTCTCGTTACGTTTCACTTTCACTCTGCTACTGCATGATCAACAGTTTTGACGTCACGGGTTTGGTATTTACACCTGTGATAACTAAAGAGACCCAGAAACGATGAAATTCCGTTTATATATGTTATGCCTGTGCATATTTTGATTAATTTTTACGACCTCAAATCAATCTTTGATATTGATTTTAAGAAATAAATATTTCTAAACTTCACGTCATATAGCTTACTATGACGTCATATCATATAGGCAAGTAAAATGTTGGTTGTAACCTTAACAGACCTGCGTAAAAATAATCGTTTTATTTTTGGCTGGGTTTTATTTCCAATATATGTAATCTAAGTATGAATTTACAGGCAACTTGTCATGAGAGTTTAATTAGGTTTTATAATAAAGCATCTTTGTGAGGTTACTTGACTTTGCTGATCACGTGACGGACACTTATGAGCTATCCATAAATATTGCACAAAATCGAATCGGCACAAATGCAAAACAAAATAATTGTGAAAGGTTTGTTATGAAATTCAATTCGTCGTTATCTTGGTGGTTAAATAAATTTTCTTAAGAAAATATTTTACGAGAAATTCGTGTTACCCAGATACAAGGGAGCATTTTCCACTTTTTTTTACCGCAAATTATAAAAAAAAGATAAATTACCCACAATCCCCCCTCAAAATTCAGTTAGAGGACATACTTTTCTAGTAGATTTATATAGAATATCTTTAATTTATCCTTATTAATTATTTGTGCCAATCAAATATATACACACGTCATGGATTTCAACTCTGTCTACGAACGTGGAAGCGTTTCACATGCATTTTTTGTTAATGTGTAAATATGTGCAAATCGGACAAGAAATACCAATATTAATAGCAACATCACTACAGCACACTGGAGTTTAAAAAGCACTTGAATTCAATAATTCCAAAAAATCTACCTTTCATATGAGAGGAATGTAAAAAATAAGACACTTTCCCTGTCAGTTAGCTCATGCATGGAGTGATTTGACGTCATATGCTATTATGATGTCATATCTAGGTAGTTCAGGGAAGTAACTACAATTGGAACAATTTGGTATTTTACGGACAACCTTATCCTAGCCGTGTATGAAAAAGACCTCATCCATTTTTCTCGTGTTTTATTAGAATAATAACTGTTCGAATGTCATTTGGAAGTCAGTTGCTGAACTGAGCAGTTCCAATCTCAAATGAAATGTTCAGATAAACAGAACTTAAGATAATGTCAAACTGAGCATTGAAATCATAGAACATATTGACCCCTGTAAACACCAAGGGTGAAAACATTGTCACGGAGCAGGAAGCTATCCCTTTCGACCATCCAAATGAGTAGATGTTGTTTTTTTGCCGAGTAAGCATTATTTCAGCTATACGTCAGGAAAAGAAAAGTTTAAGTAGTAATGTATTTCATAGAATTAATTATATATAAGTTCTCAGATTTGCCTGCAATGCTTCCAATAGTAAAACATCCACATCAAATAGATAAGTCAGACCCTGTAGTGTGATTTAAGTCAGGTTTAATGGGATACAGAATCAACGTATGAATGAAAATGAATAATGTTATTTGATCATGTCTTCAGTATAACTAAATGTCAAAGTAAATGCCACTGCAGAGACTTCTATTTAGATCACCTGATCTGAAAACACCAGTGTGCTTTTCTAATCCTCAGTCCATCCGTTTTTAGCTCACCTGAGCCGAAGGCTCAAGTGAGCTTTTCTGATCAAAATTTGTCCGTTGTCTGTCGTCGTCGTCGTTGTTGTCGTTGTTGTCGTCGTCGTTGTCGTTAACTTTTCACATTTTCAACTTCTTCTCAAGAACCACTGGGCCAATTTCAACCAAACTTGGCAAAAAGTATCCTTGGGTGAAGGGGATTCAAGTTTGTTCAAATGAAGGGCCACGCCCTGATTCTAGGGGAGATAATTGAGAAACATTTGATGGTATGATTTAAAAATCTTCTTCTCAAGAACCACTGTGCCAGGAAAGATGAAACTTATATGGAAGCATCCTCAGGTAGTGTAAATTCAATTTTGTTCAAACCATGACCCCCGGGGGTAGGGCGGGGCCACAATGGCCGATCAAAGTTTTACATAGAAATATATAGGAAAATTCTTAAAAAATCTTCTTCTCAAGAACCACTCTGCCAGGAAAGGTGAAACCTATGGGGAAGCATCCTCAGGTAGTGTAAATTCAAATTTGTTCAAATCATGACCCCCGGGGGTAGGGTGGGGCCAAAATGGCCGATCAATGTGTTACATAGAACTATATGGGTAAAATCTTTAAAAATCTTCTTCTCAAGAACCACTGGGCCAGGAAAGATGAAACTCATGTGGAATCATTCTCAGGTTGTGTACATTCAGGTTTGTTCAAATCATGACCCCTGGGGCTAGGGTGGGGCCATAATGGCCGATCAAAGTTTAATATAGGAATATATAGGAAAAATTTTTAAAAATCTTCTTCACAAGAACCCCTAAGCCAGGAAAGATGAAACTCAAGTGGAATCATCCTCAGGTAGTGTAGATTCAAGTTTGTTCAAATCATGACCCCTTGGGGTAGGGTGAGGCCATAATGGCCGATCAAAGTTTTACACAGGAATTTATATAGGAAAAATTTTTTCTCAAGAACCATTAAGACAGGAAAGAAAACTCATGTGAAATTATCCTCAGGTAATGTAGATTCAAGTTTGTTCAAATCCTGACCCCGGGGCTAGGGTGGGGCCATAATGGCCGTTAAAAGTTTTACATAGG